AATTGATACTTTTGCGATCTCTTTCTCGTACAAGTCCTTGAAGCACAAGGTGTACTTGGATTTTTCCAGAATGTCTTAGCCACAGTGAAGGAAGCCCAGCCAACATACAGTAAGCGGCTGCCACCTCAGACCATGTGGCTCACCACCATCTGATATGATGGTTAATGCAAAAAAAACACAATTCTCACCTCAAAGGGAGTAAGAGAGTTTATTTTGGAGCCAAATTTGAGTGACCACCACGGCTTGGGGACAGAGATTCAGGTTTCCCTAAATTCCATGTTCTGTCATGAAAGTGGTTACATGAGATCTCATTAGCTGCAGAGTAGAAGACTCTGGAAGGGTTTACCGGAGTTCTTAGTGGGGGCGCGAGTGGTGGGTCACAGCAAAGTCTGGGAGATTCTGCTGTGTAACATCGGACGACAACATCTTTAGCTTTGGGATTGGTGGAGCTAGTGGTTGGCTAAGAATCCTTTCTGAAGTTTTGATAGTCACAAGGACATTGGGCCCAACACAGGGGTACACAAAGGGCAACTTCCAAAGGCACCAGAATGAGCCAGAGATGATCTGGCTCTGATCTGCAACATTCTAACTCTTCATAGTCTCAAAGTCCAGTCCTTCAGCCTGTAGTCACTTTAACACAGGCAAGAGTTTTCTCTCTTCCATCTCACCCAGACCCCCTTCTTTCTGGGAATTTCAGACACCCGTGTTTCCACTTGAGTTCACAACACTGAGCGTGCTCCCGTCAGTCTCCAGACTTCCCTGTTCCTTGTTTTTCAATGAATGAGCTATCCTAGGCTCTCAACGGCTCATCTTCATCCTGGTCTAGAAACGGAAAGTGTGCCGATAGGAAAACCACAACAAAGATAACAAGCAAGGACAAATGATACTCAGAGCCGTTTACATTCATCCTATGCATACATGAGAAGAGCCCCTGGGCATGACCTTGAGCAGCACAGGGCTGAAATGTGAGGCCACAGTGGAGGGCGTGCTTTGGGCAGAGATGGAGGTGCCATCGTGTCTGAAATTGGCATTCGGACTAGATCTAGCCCTGACTATTAAACTTCTCTGGAGTCTCCCCCTTCCCTCTCATCTTCTTAACAGCCTATTGATAACTTAGCCGAACAGGAAGTACTTCATAAAGCTTAACCTTCTAAAACAAGACAAAACTGGAAGAACAGCAAGGAGAGTTCAGATCTGCGACGCTCATCCACTGGCAAGGCAAGGATGAGAACGGCTCTTTATTCCTATGCCGGCTGTAAAAGGATCGAATCAAATCCCCGCAGAGGGTTTGGCACCCTTCCTGGCCAAGAACTTCCAATCATCCCCATTCCTCCCCTTGTGGAAATGAGACCCAGGGTGAGGTGCTGCCTGCCCAAGGTCACACAAGAAGGAGGCGACATCAGACACGCCCTGTTTTGGCTGCTTCCTTCCTCCTCCCTTGCATTCATTCATCCCCTTATTTCCTCATAGCAAGGTAAAGGAAATAAACCCACCCAGGATGAGTGAAGTTATCAGCAGGGGCTCATGTCCAAGTGTGGTTTCCATGGTACGTACTGTGTATGTGCGTGCATATGTGTGTGCATGTGTGTGTGTGTGTGAGAGAGGGGGGGGAGGGAGATTGAGAGAGATTTGTTTAGAATCCCAGCTCCCAAAAGTGGCAGCAACTTGGCAGGACGGTCAGCCTAGCTTCTCTCTCTCTCTCTCTCTCTCTCTCTCTCTCTCTCTCTCTCTCTCTCTCTCTCCCCTCTCTCCCTCTCTCCCTCTCCCCCTCTCCCCCTCTCCCCCTCTCCCCCTCCTTCTCCCTCCCTCCCTCCCTCCCTCCATCCCTGTAGATGACGCTCTCGAAGGGACCAGGTGAGAGCCCTTAGTGCCCTTTGCAGGGAAGGGTGCCCTTAGAGATGTCACAGAAGGACTGTGATTGAGGGGGAACAAAAGACAAAATACCAAACCGTACTGATTAAAATCCAGGGAGTCCAAATCACCGTGTTATATAATAATAACCAGAGGCGGGTTTTTCTGAGGGATGTTCCTCTCCGTGGCATGGCTGTCCCTGTGTTTTCTATGCCTGTTGAATTCCCCGGGTTAATCAGGCAGGTGGTTGCTACTAAGAAACCATTTTACAGATAAAGGAAATGAGGCTCAGAGCAAACAGGAAGCCCGCTCAGAAACACAGAGCCAGGCCTCAGAGACTCGGGGGACCTGGATGTTTGCAAAGTGTGACACATAAACGTCCCTACGAAGTTTCACGTGTCTACCTGCAAAGGAGGGACAGGTGAACGTGACTCTGCTCAGGCTAAGAACAAGACATGATGGCAGATGGAATGGGTCTTCTAGGTAGAAGAAAAAAAAAAGCCAGGTCACTGTGGGGTTAAGACTGTGACAGGTGCCGGGAGTAGCAGCTCAGGCCTGTAATCCCAGCTACTGAGGCAGGAGCATGGCAAGTTCAAGGCCTGCCTGGACTACTGAGAGAGTTCAAGTTCAGCCTGGGCAACTTCAGCAGACCCTGTCTCAAAATAAAAATTAAGAAGGGATATAGGCCGGGCGGTGGTGGCACACGCCTTTAATCCCAGCACTCGGGAGGCAGAGCCAGGCGGATCTCTGTGAGTTCGAGGCCAGCCTGGGCTACCAAGTGAGTCCCAGGAAAGGCGCAAAGCTGCACAGAGAAACCCTGTCTCGAAAAACCAAAAAAAAAAAAAAAAAAAAAAAAAAAAAAAAAAAGAAGGGATATAGTCTAGTATATACATGAAGCCCTGGATTCCACTCCCTGTACCACATGAAGAAAAGGAGAGAGGGAGGGAGGGAGGGAAGGAAGGATGGATCCTAGTTTACCAGGCACCTGCCAAGAGCCCCACCTGTTTCTAGAAGATTACAGAGACAGAGGGCAAGCTGAGCATGGCTGACAGTGGGAGACACTGTGACATGCTTTGTTTCTGGTTCGTTTCATTTTAATCAAGGCACACCAAAGGCCAGGTCCACACTCTGTCCTTTACTAAGGTCAGGTCTAAGCCAGGGTTTATAATGAGTGAGCTTGGGATCCTTGCCTCCCCTTCCAGACCCTTCTCCCATTAAAGAATGGAGCCCAGAGCCAAATGTGGACCCTGGAGAGAGCTCTAGAGCCCCAGCTGTCTCCACCTTTGGCTGGAGTTTGGTCCCCAGAAGATGGAGCACTTATGGAGAGCTAAGGAAGCGAGAGAGAGAACCCGTCTTTCTAGACAAGGAAGAGCATGGCGATCCTGGGTGCTTTGCCCTGCACACCAGAGCCTAGGCAGCAAGATGCTAAAACATACTCAGGCTACTGACACCAGGGCCACACACAGCAGAGAAATGCCACAGCGTGAGGGCGATGCATGAATACACAGAGAGAAACACACACACAGAGCCGCGCCAGATGGAGAAAGCAGCCCGGGCTGGGCCAGGGATTCGTTACTCCCCAACCCACACAGAGCGGCTGGTGGGGTTACGTAATGCAAGCTGCAAAAACACTAACCAGCCTCCTTCAAGGGGCCCTGGTGGGGGGAAAGGGGACCTCCTCTGAAAGGCAGGGGGGACCTCTGTAGTCAGCTCCTGTTCTCGGAGGCAGTGGGCACTTGTGTCTGCTGGCTCAGCCCTGGGGTGGCCCTGGGAAGGTACTAAAAGCAAGAGGAGGCAAGGTTTGGGTTTGTTAGTCACGCCGGCAGATGGGTGGCCCTCCTTGTGCTAAGGCATGGCGAGAATGCTATAAAGAAGAGTCTAGGGGTATGGGTAGAACCGGGGCTTGGAGGGGAGGAGAGAAATGGATGTAAGGATTGGCTTGTCCTCCCCCCCCCCGATCCCCACCCAACCCACCACTAACAGATTACCTGTCACAGCCCACAGCTTCCCATACACTCAGCTCTTTGCACTTGCCTGATCCGAGCTACTACCACGCTCTAGCTTGGCCCCTGCTGGCCTTTGACGCTGTAAGCATCACCCCAAGTCCCTACCCTGGGACAACTGATGCTTTGAAAACGGACAGCATTTTAGAGAATTTAAATATGGATCTGTGGACATATGCATCGGAAGTCATTATCGGGTAAGTTTCGAAGTTCAGGCTTGAAAAGGAAGCTGGTCTGTCCCCCGGCCGACCGCTCTATGTGACCTTGGACCAGGCACTGAGACTTCTTTCAAGTTGGGGCTCCAGGTCTAGGGATGGGTGTCTGTGGACATCAAAGGAGGAAAAAAATAACTGTTGAGAACAGATGCATTCAGAAAACTCCCATGTTAGTCTCCCGTCAGTGGATATTGATTGAGCGTATTATGTGCCATTACTAAGCCCAGAGGGTCACAGTCTGTCTTCTTCATATTCCCTCACTGGGGTTTTTCATGTGGTATGTGGGGGAACAAATGTACTCCAGACCTTTGTGTGGACCTAGCTCTTTGTGTTGGAAGTCTTCGTAGCATGGCAAAGTGTCTATTTTTGAAACGGAAACGAGATAATAAGGAGTGAACCGGCTGGGGGGAACGGGGTCAGTTGGAATCCTCTGTCCATGGTACCATTAATGCAGCCTCTGTATCTATCCAGTGGGTTTTGTTCTTGGTGATGGTGGAGGTGGAGGTTGGAGAGGAGGTTCCAGAGTGGGGAGCCCAAAGATTGGTGCTGGAGGAGCTTCTGAGCTGTGAATGGGAACTGTGTGCAAAACCCAGGGCACCGAGGACAGTGTGACAAGTCAGAACCGTGGCTCCCATGCTGGGAAAGATGAAAGGTTGAGAATTCTTACCCTTGGGTCTCTAGGGTTGCCTGGCCATCTTGGCTGAGGTGTCCCCAGGGAGGCTGTTTGGTCTCTGAGGGCTTTGATGGCAGGGATAAAGCCAGGTAGCCACTGCTAACTGGCAAAGGTGGGTGTCCACTCGAGGAAGGCCAGTGTCAGCACCCCAGGCGTCCGTGACTCAGTGTTTTCCATCCTAGTTCTGAGGTATGGGGTACCCTGCTCCACTCTCTCCTTCTGTCTCCTCATCCATTCTCTTCTTTTTCTACTCATCAGATCCAGGAACCCCTATATCACATCCGCATTTGACAAGCTGGTGACCAAGATGCCCAGAGACTAGTCCCCATGCTTGTGTGTCACTTTAGACCTGGTCATAAGACGCAGCAAGCCTCCAGTCCTCCTGACCTGTTGCTTGGGGACACAGCCCTTCACCGCTCCTGACGTCTGCCTGGTCGACATTGGCTTCCTTAGAGAACAAGGAAGGAGGTGGGGACACATGAAATCATGCCACCCAAGGCTGAATGGCAATGAGCCGGTGACGCCAAGTTGACGTCAAAGACAGAGGCGACTGAAATTCTGTAACCAGCTCTTTTTTTTTTCCGGAGCAGCTCAGGTCTCCTGCAAGAGTCCATCTTAGCCTGGAGGTCTTCCAAAGGACACAGGCACCATGGAAGAACACACATTTGGGGTTCAACAGATCCAACCCAATGTCATTTCTGTCCGTCTCTTCAAACGCAAAGTCGGGGGTCTGGGCTTCCTGGTGAAGGAACGGGTCAGCAGGCCACCCGTGATCATCTCAGATCTGATTCGAGGGGGTGCTGCGGAGCAGAGCGGCCTCATCCAAGCCGGAGACATCATTCTCGCCGTCAATGGCCGGCCCCTGGTGGACCTCAGCTATGACAGCGCCCTGGAGGTACTCAGAGGCATTGCCTCTGAGACCCACGTGGTCCTCATTCTGAGGGGCCCTGAGGGCTTCACTACACACCTGGAGACCACCTTCACAGGGGATGGAACCCCCAAGACCATCCGGGTGACCCAGCCCCTGGGTGCCCCCACCAAAGCCGTCGATCTGTCCCACCAACCGTCAGCCAGCAAAGACCAGCCATTAGCAGTAGGCAGGGTCGCAGGTCCAGGTAATGGGCCTCAGCATGCCCAAGGCAATGGACAGGAAGCTGGCTCAGTCTCCCAGGCTAATGGTCTGGCCATTGACCCTACAATGAAAAGCACCAAGGCCGGTCTCCAGGACAGTGGAGACCATGATGAACTGCTCAAAGAGATAGAGCCTGTGCTGAGCCTCCTCAATAGCGGAGGCAAAGCAGTCAGCAGAGGGGGACCAGCCAAAGCAGAGATGAAAGACACAGGAGTCCAGGTGGACAGGTAAGCTACACAAAGTGTGTGCTCGTGTGGAGGTGTGCATGCAGAGGCTCCACCTGGCAACCCAGGAGCCAGCCTGCCCACCCACATGGCTTGGCCACCCTTCATCTCTCCCTGGAGATCCTAGTCATGTGAGGTGAGCAGACATCCCTTTGAAGACGCGGCTCTTGCCGTGAAACGCGGAGTCATTAATAACCATGGTCCGGGGAATTGTGTCTTCACGTGTTTGTCCCGTGAGAGCTCCCGGAGTCCCATAAGGTGGGATGTGTCAAGGGTGGGATTGAGAGAGGTGGAAATGGCTTTGTTGATATTGACTAGGGATTGAGAGGCACGTGCACACAGCTCCCCGGGCAGGTAGCTCGTGCCATGATCCTGGGAAGGAGAGCAGGGGAGAGCTGGATTCTAAAACCCACTCTGCTCTCTCTTCTCCGTAGCCAGCTATGGACAAGGGAGGTTTTCGAGGAGAGGGAAAGGCCGCAGAACTAGTCCAACGCCCTAAACCACAGTCTTCCAGTCTTGGACCCTGGGTGTAGACCCTCCAGTACTGGAAATGACCCCTCTTGTTCACCAAACCGCTGCTTTGGGAGTCTCTGATGAAAGGGATCCGGCAGAACTGTGGGTGTTGCCAGCTCCATCTGAGGGAGGAAAGAACAGCTGGCCCTGGCAGTCAGAGTTGTGTGTCCCGCAGTTAGGGAATTCCCTATGCCTCTCCCGCCATCAAACCCAGTAGCCCTGCTCCATGCTACGAAGACAGGGATGGGGCCACTCAGAATTCAAACTCGGCACGCATCTGCGGCACTCACTGAAGCCGTGCGGTGCGCCCGGACTCCGGAGTTGTCTCTGTTGTGTGCATGACACGAGCTGGTCCTAGTCAACTAACCCTGTTCCTCGGCAGAAGACAAGTTCAGGGGGTTTTCCACGAGACTCTGTCCTAGCTGGTGTGGTGGAGTCCCTGGCCAGTGGCCGCTGCCCAGCGGATGGATCCATGTCTCATACATTTGACTTGGATTTGCAGCTGAGCCGGAGGCTGCGGATAGAAGGACCCCTTGGGTTCTATTTCAGGCAGTCTTGCACTCCCAAACTCCATATGATGTGGGTCCTCCTCTGGAAGAGCCACAATGAGTGCTGGGTACTCCCCGGAAGACCCACAGTGAGTGCTGGGTACTCCCCGGAAGACCCACAGTGAGTGCTGGGTACTCCCCCCACCCCCTGTCATGTGGCTGATTTGATCCTGTCCCTCAGGTGACACTTGAAGGGACACAAAGGTGCCACCTAGAATATAGAGTTCTTGGTATAATGCTAGTGGTATGTGTAAGTGATGAGCATGGCTGACTTCCAGAACATGGGGTGCTGGGGTAGTTACGGAGCAAAAAGAGGACTGTAAACAAAACTCCATACTCTGTTCCGTAGAAACCATCGCCTGTCTGTCTTTCTCCAAGGAGACACAGCCAGTGTGACATAGGACACTGCCCCTGGACCCATTTTTTCTGACTTGGGGGTGGCTCCGTACAGTCTCTCGCCCATTGTGGTCCTCCCTCTGACTGCCTAGATCTACCTTGCACATGCCGAGTGTCTTAGCCAAAAGTCGTAGATGAGCTGAGGTTTGAGAGAAAGCTGCCCAGGAAGGCTCAGAGCCCTGGAGAGCCAATCCGAGGAACAGGTTCTAGGGAACGGGTGACATTTCTTAACGACACCCGTTCCCCTAGCTTGGCGGCTTATGCTCATGTTGTACCCAAGACCACCTTACTAGCCGGAAGCTAGCGTAGGGTTGATAGAGCCCGGCCCCCTACTCGACATTTTCAGACACTCCATGTCCTGACTGTGATACACAGGACAGTGTCCATCTCCTAAAGAGAGAGCCAGCCATCGACAGTGGGACCTCAGCCAGCAGGCCAAAGGTGTGTGCCTGACCCCAGAACTGTTACACACACAGGAGCATCAGATACAGAAGGATATAGATGTGTCATCTTGGTATCCCAAGGGCCACAGTGGTGTCAGGGTTTGTGATACAATTTTCTGAAATGAGCAGTTTCCAATGAGACAGCAGGTTAGTCTGGCTTCGCTTGGTAACTCCCAGTTTCTATGGACTCACACATGGAAGATCAAAGCCCTCGGTATCATACGGCAGAGCCCAGGAATTTCTGCCTGCTTTCCATCTACATGGAAGGTCCTGTGCTTATTGAGGGCCTGGCTCCTTAGGGGGAGCTTATCCTTGGCATGGCATGTCCCTCGGTCCCCACATGGTACCACCTCTACAATGTCAGGAACACCCCTGAACGCAGAGAGCAACAGCCCAGAATGTCCCCCCACCCCACTGTCACACCGCCTCCTGGGGGCTGAAATCAAACGCCAGCGTCGGTGTCACATTGTCCTTGGGGTCAGTCTCACAGTGGCATCCCTGAGACCATCAGGGACCCTTGGTGCGCACAGCTATGGGGAATATCTTATACTCCCGTTGACCTCCCTGACCAGATGCCGTTTGGGGCTGAGGATTGTCACTGGCAACTTGGAGGGTGAATGAATGGTTACCACACTGAGCCACTTGGTTCTGTACCCAGATCCCACATCCAGGGTACACTCATCAGCCAGTGACTCCTAAGGCTACCCGGAGCATCAGCCACTTGCTAGTACAGGGCGCTCCCTGTCTTGGTTCTGCTGCCCTTCATTCCTGCTGTGAGTGGACTTAGCTTTCTGCTCCATCACTGGGGTTAGTGGGGACCAAAGGTGATGTGCTACTCTAGAATGGCAGCCAAATCCCCTCACCCCCAGGAGCCAAGTGGTCCCAGGAGACTGCAAACACAGACTTCCGGTACCTTCTGTATTTGAGAGCGGTCACTTTAAAAAGTGTCAGGGGATACCAAGGTGGCTCAGCTTGCTGCCCTGAGGCAGGGTTCTAAGGAGGCCAAGGTCCCTGGGCCAGCATCCATCTGGAACAGCCGGTCATCCCGGCCCTATGATCAGAAAACCTGCCCCCCCCTCCCCCGTTCACTTCTGCGAGGCCCTCGGTCAGTCCCTACACACCCCTTCAGAGGTCATGTAAATGTTGCCGGAGAAGTAGGGCACGCGGCTTCAGCCCGGTTTTTCTAAGTGAACAAACTGAGGATCAGAGAGCCGAAGCCACCTAGCCAGGGTCACACAGCCCTGCATGTAACCTACAAGCCTCTCGATAAGTGTCTGGAGTTAAAAGGACAAAAGAAACAGCTGCGGGGGGGTGGGGGGGGGGCAATACGCAGGGCACCCACTGTGTGGCAAGCCTGGGTTCGAGGATTGTGTCGTATGCCCATCTCTGCTGACCACTCCCACTCTCTCTGTCAATCCCGTTTCCTTCCTAAAATTGTCCCATTTCCATGATGAATTAAGCAGGGTTCAAAGAGGTTCTGTCGTTTATCCCGGGCCACACAGCTAGCAAGCCACCAAACCAGACTCAGGCCCCCGACTGTGCTCTTGACCTCTGTGGCCTCATAGATAGATGGACTTGTTGTCCACAGTGCATTTGGCTACCGGCCACTGGGTGTCTGAAGCTGTCAGAATATTTCATCTGAGTCTGGAAGGGAAACTGAAACCTTGAAGTTGCTCTGGCTTGGGGTAAATAATGTAGGGCAAGATGACCAAGGTTTGTCATCTTTCTAGATGGGAAGAAGGGCCTCCTGAGTTACGGAAGAGCCTCTCTGATGGGTTCTGCGGGTTTCCCAACCTTCCAGCCATCATCATGGAAGAGCCAGGATCCCAGATCCGTTCTTCCTGTAGCAGGGCAAGGTGACTGGCCTGTTTTTATGTAGTTCATTAGTGTTTGCTTACCAAGGTACCCAAGATGGGGCAGAGGAGATGCTCAGTGGGGAAAGTGATCAGCAGGTCCTGCTTAATTGGAGAGTTCCCAGTGACCTTCACACACACACACACACACACACACACACACACACACACACACACACACGTGCACACACATGTTCACACACACATGCACATGCATGAAGGTCCTTGCGCTTGCACACAGGTCCTCTTGCTTACACCTGCATGTGTGTGTGTGTGTGTGTGTGTGTGTGTGTGTGTGAGAGAGAGAGAGAGAGAGAGAGAGAGAGAGCATGTGTGACCTCAGAGTGACCCTGAGCTGGGCTGGCTCCAGGCTGCCTGGGTTGGTGCACGTTGCACACAGACCTCTGAATGGGACTGCAAAAGCTCTCCCACAAACTTCCCCGCCACAACCCAGAGCGACTTCCCTTCTTCCTCTCATCAGACACACATGTCTTCCCCAATCTGTCCTTCCCTGCCTTGCCCCCTTTCTGTCTTGTCACTTGGACACTCAGCCCTTCATCCTGAATGAGCTGTGGAAGAACTCACTCACGTGTCTTACCTCCTCAAAACTGACCTGTCCCCAGCGGGCTTCTCGCCGCCTTCCACCCAGTGAAGTTTTGAGCAAACACACTCTTGCCCCTGGTTCTGCTCTCAGAGCTGGAGACTTGCTGGGGGAGCTCTCCCCTCCCCGAGTCACATCAGAGACATGAAGAATAGACAAATAGACGTTTGCCGTCATCTCTCCCAGTGACTCATGCCAGGGGAGGAAATAGGCCAGAGATTTGGGGGGAAGTTGCTCAGGAGTGAGGAGAATGTTAGGCGGGGGAAGACAGAGGTGCCAGTCATGTGAAAGCTGGGGATGAGGGCAGCCTGACAAGAAGGTAGGGTGGGAACAGAGATCCTGAGGCAGGGACCAGCATGAAGGGTTCAAAGGGGTAAAGGAAGGCTCTAAGGGATGCAGGGTAAACAGTGGGAGGAGCTTTCTATGTGAGCTCCGAGGATCAAACTCAGGTCCTCAGACTTGCATTAAGGTCCTCATGCTTACACAAAGGTCCTCACACTTGCACACAGGTACTTTACTCACTGAACCACCTTCCAGACATAACTGTTCTTCAGAAACGTAGCCCCTAAGGATACTGAGAGCATCTGTGCTGTGTATCCAGTCAGGCTGGCTGTTCACACACTCCAAGTGGGACAGGATGGATGTTGCG